TTGACCCGCGGCGCGGTCCAGATGTGCCTGACCCGCCGGCGCTCCCGGGACCCGGCTTCCGTACGTGGGCGGCGCTCCCGTGACCCGGCTTCCGACGTGGGCGTGCTGCCTCGCCGGTGTGGCTTCCGTTCTCCCAGCTGTTCCTCGTCGCGGCATGCGACCGGCGGCCGCTGCGGGCCGCGGTCGGACGCTATCCGTCACGTATCGTGTTGTGGTCGCTGTCAGCTCGGCGTGAGACCCTTGTCGCGCGCTGAGCCGCCGCCCCGCCGCCTCCAGCCCATTGTGAGGGCGTTATCTCAGCGGGCAGGTCGGCTGACTTGGCTTCGGCTGTCGCACACGCGGGCGGCAGCTGATCAACAGCGACAGGGCTCAGGCATTGAGCGGGACGAGGTGTGGGACAAGGCCTGCTTTCGGCGGCTACTGGGTGGGCTTAGCTTCTGGCCCTGGTCAGCGAGCGTGAACATTGACACGTGATGAGGATACAGACTGGGACAGAAGCGGAGGCCGGCGCAACTCCTCGCAATGCGCTCTAAGCTCAGCCCTTCCGCGGATCACTGGGTGGCCGTTGCTGCGGCCTCCGGCGGAGGTAACAGATTTACCGCGCCAGCGAGCCATGGTTACCGCGTTCACGTGAGCGTAGGTGACGCATTCACGTCTCGTTATTATCACTATTGACGCGTGCGCTACTGTGCTGGCTGGCGAGAAGCCAGCGATCGGCGAGCTGGGGTGCTGTTCAATCACGGGCCCGCTGCGCCACGGATGACAACATCGGAGATGTAAAACCTCGAGAGGAGAAAGTCGGTGGGAGGGTGCGGCGTCGTGGACGGGAAAGCGGACGGTCTTCCCCGGACGGGAGAGCGGGCAGCCTGCCGCCCGGGCAGCGGGCAGTCTGCCCCGGCGCCGGCAGCAGGCAGCCCGCCCGGGCGAGCCGTCGGCCGGGTGGCCCGCGCCCTTACCGAGCCCGGAACCCGCCGGGCCGCCGGGAGACGGATCGGCCGTCCGTTTGTGGGTCAAGGCGGCGGACGGACGTGCCAGGAGTGCCGAGCAGGCGACCGACCCACGGCAAACGCCGCCCCGGCCCGGCCTGGCCCGGCCCCGTATGCGTTGTTTGTCGAGAGCGGGGGTGCCGTGGCCTTACGGCTGTCGCCTCCGCCGCCCTGGGACTCCCGAAGTCGTGCTGCGCTCATCAGGGCTGGGCCGAGGCGCTCCGCCGCTCGTTTCTGAGTCCAACCAATGGGCAGTTTTTGCCTTGTTTTCGCTTTGTCGTCTTTTGTGTTCCATGCTAATCCATGCCGGCCCTCAACCCGAATCACTTTCCATCACAATCCGATCACTTGGCCATTTCCCCGCCTCTTTCATTACTCGCCCTTCTGAATATTCCGGCCTCGCTCTGCCCGTGTACTTTACGAGCGGCGGCTGGCTGCCTCCTCCGGGCTTCGGCACACAGCGTGCCGGCACAAAGTGGCCCTGTCCGGGGCGCGGGCGCGGTGCCTCCTTTTTGCGCCGCCGCATTGTGCCGGCCCGGCTGTTTTGCCGTCCGCGCCGCTCGGCTGGCCCGCCTGGTGGTATTGACACTGCCTCTCCGGCTGGAGGCCGGCACAAAGGCGGCGTGTGCGCCGACGCGCCGCGCGGCCGGGCCGGCGCCGGACGCCGCCGCACTCTGCTGACGGCTGTCGCCGCTGCCCGCTGGCGCCGCTGCCCGCTTGGCGCCGCTGTCCGCGCGCGCGCCGATGCCCGTGCTCCGCGAGCTGCAACCCAGCAACGGCCCTTTGTGCGCCGCCCGTTATCCGTGCACCGCCCGTTATCCGTGCACCGCCGTCCGTTCTCCGCGGACCGTACCGCGCTGGTCATGCCCCGCTGCCAGCACCTTGTTCTACGCTATCCGTGCCGCGTCGTGAGCACCCTGTACTCCGCCATTCGTGCGCCATACTCCGCTGGCGGCGTCCCCCGTCCGGCTGCCGCCGGTGCCTGGTCAGGCGGTCGCCTCGGCGCCGCGTCGGGTACGGCCGGCCGCTGGTTTCGCCTCTCCTGCCGTGGGCCGGCCGGCCGACTGGCCAGCCGTGTGAACTTTCTCCCGGGCCGGCGCGGTGAGCGGGCCGACCTCGACCCGCCGGCGGCCCGCTGACCCACCGGTGTCGCGGCGGCGGCTGCGGACGGGCGCCGTGTCACGCCGCGGCGCCCGGTCCGGCCGGACGGCGGGACGTCGCCCGGCCTCCGTCGGGCCCTGGCGCGCCGGTCGGGCTCCGTTGGCCCGATGACACCGCGCGTGGGAGGAGAGTCGGGGTGGCCTGTCGCGGCCTCTGCCAGGCCGGCACGGGTGCGGCGCCAGCGTCGCATCCAGCGCGCGGCTGGCGCCGCCGACCTTGCGCGCTGCCAAACAATGCCGACCTGTGCTCATTAGTCGCGATCGGGCGGCGGTGTTCGGCGACGATACAATCGGCTGGCCGTCGCCTGACCCGGCCTGACCCGGATCGACGCCGCGCCTCGGCGACTCGGGGCGGCGCCGGCGGCGCGCGCTGTCGTGTCGGCCGCCCATCGCGACCGGATTAATCAGATGACCGCATTAGCGGGACGGGTGGGCGGGTCCGCCCAGGCGGGCCGAGCCGAGCCGCGCCGGGCCCGCTCCTGCGCCAGAGACGCCGCCGGCCGGCCGCCGGCGCCGGGCGGTGCGCCGCTTTGGCCGCGCATGAGCGACGACGCGATCCTGGCGCGATGGTATCGCGCCTGGCGGCAGCCGGGCTCTGCCGCTCCGATGTTTTATCTCCGCCCCGCTCGGCGGCGCCGCCCCCGCCCCATCTCGCGGACCGCGGTGCCGAAGTAAGCAGCCAATCGCAGCTGCACCCGGGAGATGACGCCTCGTATCCGGAGATGCTAAGCGTGCCAGCATGCAGGAAACGCTCGCAGGTGCTCCCTACGCAAGGGAACTGCTCGGCGTGATAACTCTACTGACGACTCTATAAGGCTGTTAAAGCGTCTTTCGGCAGCATGTGCAGTTTGGCGGCGACTCGAGCAGCTGCGTTGCGAAACTTCCCGCCGCTGGTCGTGATCGGCTTAGCGTAAAAGTTACGCAACGCCGCGGTACAAAAGGAGCTCGACCCGAAGACCGCTGCACCGTCAGTTGCACCATACCGCCGACGTCTTCCGGGGGGCGGTGGGAGAGGCTGTGGGAACGTGTCAGACGGCGGGCAGGACGCTACGGGCTGGTCTCGGAAGAACCGTTGGCGCACTGAAGGGGCAGGCACGTCATTGGTCATGTTCATGTGGGGAAGAAGTCCCAAATGTGGGCTGAACACGTTAATGGAACACTTTATAACTGCCTGCTGTTTCCGAGCCAACGGTATGGCGGCATTCGCTCATTCAAAATGGTTGTAAAATTTGCATCATTCGCCTTAGTTCAAGTATCCAGGCGATGCGTGGACGCGACACCGGAGATCCAGCATTCCTCATGTGGAGGTCAGCTGCTAGCCGTCAGTATCGGCTTACGAAGCGCGGTTAGGGCCTGACCAGGTCAGCTCAGGCACGCATAGCACCCTCCGCAGATCAGGATCGAATGTCAGGTGTGATGAAGGCCAATGGGATTGCGCATCGAACGTTGCGTAATCTAAACGACCGAGCCCGCCGGAGTTGAGCTGAGCGACAAACATTCCACGCGTTCTCCTCGCTGCATGAGCCCGACCGCCGTCCTGCAGCCGACGACGGCGCGGCGCCCTGGCGTTGGCGCATCCACACGGCGCTGTAACGCCCTCATCACGTGCCGTGGCACGTCCCAGCGCCGCCGGCCGCGGCGCGACCGCCGCCGCCGACCACCGGCAGCCGCCGCTCCGCCCTCGGCAAACAACGTCAGGTCGCCGCCAGGCTGGAGCTAATTAGCGTCGGCGCGCGGCGGGCCGGGCGGCGCCGGCCGACGGCCAACCGCTCCGCCCTCGCACGCACGCGAGCGCGCGCCTCTGTCGGGTGCCGGCAGCGGGTCACGCCCACACGCCGCGTCGCCCGGCCCGGTGCGGAGACTGATCTCTGATGAGAGGCACGCGACGGCGGGTGGCGGCGGTGGGGAGGCGTCGGGCTGCTACTGGAGTATGTTCGGTTAAAGTTCGGTTCGGTTTGGTTCGATTAAGGTTTTGTTAGGTTTGTCTCGTGCTGTTCTGTCCGATCACGGCATATATACATGGCGTAACAATGCTTGTGAGTGCATGTGACCTTTTCCATTGTCATTGTGTCCGCGCTGTTGTTTGATGATCTGGCTTTGGTATTCCAACCACGACGCTTGTAGCCATCCCCACCCTCATTGTCTGCCACAGCTTTGCCATCTGACCGCGGCCCGCCCTGTCTCGTCTGCCCACCCGCACCACAGCGTGCAACAGGGCCCCTTCTGCCGCCCCCTTCTGCCCACCCGCACCACAGCTTTCAACAGGTCCCCTTCTGCCGCCCCCCCCCCCCTCTGCCCACCCGCACCTAAGCTTTCAACAGGTCCCCTTCCGCCGCCCCCGCTGCCCCATCCGCATCCGCAGCGTTCTAACAGGCCCCTTCTGCCGCTCCCCTCTGCCCACCTGCACCTAAGCTTTCAACAGGTCCCCTTCTGCCGCCCCCGCCTGCCCCATCCGCATCCGCAGCGTTCTGGCAGGGCCCCTTCTGCCGCCCCCATCTGCCCACCTGCACCGCAGCGTTCAACAGGGCCCCTTCTGCCGCCCCGTTCTGCCCACCCGCGCCACAGCTTTCAACAGGTCCCCTTCTGCCGCCCCCGCCTGCCCCCACCCGCACCACAGCTTTCAACAGGTCCCCTTCTGCCGTCCCCGCCTGCCCCACCCGCACCACAGCTTTTAACAGGTCCCCTTCTGCCGCTCCCGCCTGCCCACCCGCACCACAGCTTTCAACAGGTCCCCTTCTGCCGTCCCCGTCTGCCCACCTGCGCCACAGCGTTCAGCAGGTCCCCTTCTGCCGCCCCCGTCTGCCCCATCCACACCCCCAGCGTTATGACAGAGTCGCCTCTCTCGTTACCGCAGAGGGCCATGACTGGTCGGACCACGCGCTCTTTTGGCCGGAGCGCAACCAGTGGCTGCTGCGCACCAAGTCGACGCTGGACCAGTACAGCGTGGACGCCGAGGCGTGCTTGCTCTTCACGCCGATGCACAAGGTGCTGCGCGTCCAGCTGCCGGACCTGCGCCACCTCGACTGCCGCGTCGACTTCAGCGCCAAGTGCTTCAACGCCGTCATCGAGGTCTGCAAGGAGCTAGGGTACGTACGCCGGGCGGCCGGCTCGCTCCGGTCGTCGGCGCCGGCGCCGGACGCTCCGGTCCAGCCGGACGGCTTGGAGGGGCTGGCGCCGGCGCCGGACGCTCCGTCCAACCGGACGAGCTCGGAGGGGGCTGGCGCCGGCGCCGGACGCTCCGGTCCAGCCGGACGGGCCTTGGAGGGGGCTGGCGCCGGCGCCGGACGCTCCGGTCCAACCGGACGAGCTCGGAGGGGGCTGGCGCCAGCGCCGGACGCTCCGGTCCAGCCGGACGGGCTTGGAGGGGGCTGGCGCCGGCGCCGGCCGCTCCGGTCCAACCGGACGAGCTCGGAGGGCGCTGGCGCCGGCGCCGAAACGGACGCGGGGCTGTCGTTGGTGCAGGTTATTGCTGAAGTCATCCTGGTCGTCCCGCCGTCCTGCTGTTGTCAGTGCAGCGCCGTTACGTCCTCGGTCAGTTACGCTCCGGGCGGACCAGCGCAGCGTCAGCCTGTGCCCGCGTCAGCCGTGCGAAGGCCGTGGAGTGACGGCTTGTGCAGCAGCCACGCCGCGGACAGAGATGTCCGCTTGGTGGCGCAGGACTATTATGTCAAATGCCGCTATGGTGATGTTATGCTAACGCCCAGCGGATATTATTCATCGCGGAAAGCAAACCAGAAACCGATGCCGCTAACCTGTCCGGATGGCTTATAAATCGCCTGTGGATCGGTTTATAAGTCGGGATAAATTAGCTGGTGTCAGGAGCAGGGGCTACGCTTCTGCTGGGAATCGTCGTAAATTACAGTTTATTCAAGCATTCAAAGCTCGTTTCATAGGCTTATATTAACATTTATCTGGTATCGTATCGTACGTTGGCGAATTGCAAGACCTTAGCTCTTATAAGCTTGATGTATTATAGCGTTCAACGGTGAGAACCGTGGGCGCGTACATCCGGGCCTATTGAAACATTTTTCCGACGCATTGAGGAATGCTTTCTCTTATGCTGAATGACCCCTTACTCAGCGCATCCAAGGTGCACAACTTAATGTTGTCTCCCAGCGGGCTTGCTTCACCAGCAGAAATATGCCTGAAATATGGACTGTTTCTGTGTAAATATCAAGCGTTCATTCATCGGTTGATGAATGGTTGGATTTTCGATGAATGAACACGGTGATTCATTCGTTTATTCATGGAGCAGTTGAACATCATTTACACATCAGTTGATTGACGGTTTACCTTACTCAACACAAGATCAACAGTTGACGGGTGTCGTTATTGATTTTTGTACCGAAATAGTCCGGTATCCTTCGGAACTGCTCCGAACTCTCACTGCACTCCCCGTGGTGTACACCGCGGCACGTGACCCCTATAGCGGCGCTATGTAGTTGGACGCTCCCACACATCTTATCAGAGCACACAGTACTCGACGATCTCCCGCTATCATAGCCGGGACCGGCAATCAAAAACGAACCACGTTTGGCAGAGCTGGGACCAGCAGTAAAAAACGAGCCACGTTTGCTCAATGTATGCTTTACTCTACAGTTGTGCAGTTTTATCGTCACACGGACTGCCGTAGGATTTCTGCGTGATGGCGCTGATGCAATGGAGTTCGCGGGAGGGAGGGGCCGTACCGTTGGCCGGCTGGGCCATCGAATGGAAGTCCCTGGCGGCTTGAGGGGACTTCGCTCCCAAGATCAAACGTAGCCAAGAGGGCCTGGGCACAACCAACTTAAGATTGTTGCATTGTCCCAGGTATTAAGAACTAGAAACATTTTAAGTATATAGAACTACGACTGTACAGTTCATCCGGGTTTTTTTCTGCGACGTGCGTACGCGCCATTTTTCTTCAACTCGGTTACATGCTCATTCATTCCAGGTAATCAGTTGAGTGCGCATTGTCAGGGAAAAATGACATGCAATTAACGATAATTCAACTAACAGAACCTATTTTTGAGTTTCAAAGATTGCGGGTGGTCGGCCAAGCTGCCATCTCACTGCATCTTCTATTTGATCTTTGTGCGAGCTATGCCTTGCGACAAGGCAGTTTATCCATCGCTGTGGACTGTGACGTTAAGCCCCCTCCTCTTGAGTACTTCCCCCTCATGAACTGACAGTCGCTTGTCTTCATTGACAGCTTTAGCGGGTGTGAACGCTGCAGATAGCGGTCCGCGTGGCGCGTGCAGTGGTTTGAACGGACGCTCACATGTCGATAGGCCGCAGCTGGATAATTCGACAAAGCGGCATGTGTTAGGTCATCGCGCTGCCCCGGTGCTCTTCCGTTCGGATTTACGACCTGTTTGGCAGTGGGTGTCACCTTGAAGCGTGGACTGTTCACTTGTGGACATTCCACATTAAGATGACATTATGCGCCCCAAGTGTGGCTCGTTTATCCTGGTGGTGATATCATTGGGAAGTCATGCATGCCGTTGGATCCCTCAATGCACAGTCTCTGCTGGAGCACTCACGAACGTCCGGGGCATTATGCACTGGCGATTGTACCGTTGTAGTGCATACTTCGCGGACATAAGCTTGGGAAATCCTGTCTGCACTTCCGCGCCCTAGCTGCTCACTGTGCCGTGTTGGTCGCCGCTGTGCTGTACGCAGAAATGTTCACCAATCAGTGGCTCAGGAGACTGGCCGTACACGCGAGAGCGAGGGTGGCTGGCGGCGGGCAGCTGGACCGTAACACGTGCCGCGGCCGGCAGGTATCCGCCACCCGGAGGAGCTGTCGTTCGCCAAGCCGCTGGAGTCGCAGCACCTCAAGTACAACTACCAGTCGCACGCGGCCGGCAAGGCGCGCTCCGTGGACGGGCTGCCGGCCGACACCAACACGTTCATCTCCAAGAACGGCTCGGCGCATAGCAGCAACAACAGCCTGGACGGCCCGACTACGCCCAGCCGCCGCCTGCACACGTCCGGCTCGCACTTGAACACGGTCAGTGACGGCGCGAGGCTGCGCTCCGCGCTCCGGCGCCTTCCGCGGCCGACGGGACGGGCCCGATCTTCGCTGGCGTTCGCTCGCTGCGCCCGCTGATGGATCGGACAGCGGCCGCTGCTGATCAGTGTCGTCGTCTGGGATCAGTGCCGCCGCCGCGGAGGCGTGTGGTCTGGTCGGGCGGCTGCGGCGGCGGCTCGCCGGCGTCCACCTGCAGGCCGGGCGAGGTCCTAGTCGGTGTGCGTGCGGTTGGCTGATAACTCGCTACTGACGCCCGCCCGCGGCAGGGCCTCAGCATCCAAGTATCGGACTGTATATTTGTCTTCGCGCCGGCGGCCCCCCGACGCCCGTCACCAGACCGTGCTCTCCGCGTGGCGGCGGCGCGGCGCTGCCTGCGGCCGTTGCGGCGGCCGCGGGCAGGCTGCTATCGGTGCCGGCGTCAATACAGGCCATCTGGCGCCGGCCAGGGCGCCACGCCCGCTGGGGGCCTCAGATAACCGGGCTATCGGCGGCGTCGGCGCTGTTTACGCTGCGGCATCTGGCGCCGGGCCGGCCGCTGCGTAAGCTCGCGCGTGAGCCCACGTGGCGGAAGCCGCCGCCCGGAAGGCTGGCGCGCGGCGGCGCTGCTGGGGTGGCCGCCGGCTCGAGCAGGGCTCGGCGGGCCGACTCGAGCGGGGATCGGCGACGGTGGTTAGCCGTGGTGCGGCGGGTCTCGCGGGCGGCGGGCGGGTCGGACCGACGCCGCGCTGTCTGACCCCGCAATGCACGCGCCGGCGGTGGCGTCGGCCGGGATCAGTCCCGTCTCGCTGTCGTCAGCCAGTGTTGGCAGCCGACGCCGGCCGGTCCTCCTTCCCACGGCGACAGCTCGGGCGCACAGGCGTCCTCAGGTCGCCGCCAGGCCCGCCACCTGGCGGACCTGAGAGGCCGACTCCATGCCGATACCGGCGACGCCTCCCTCGGCGGCGGCGCGGACGGCGTCCCCTGACGCCGCCGGGCCGTCAGCCGGGCGTGACCTGCGCCGCAGCTCCCTGACAGACGCGCGACAGCCGGCGCTCGACCGACGCGCGACAGGTCGGCCGGGACCGTCAGCGGCGGCGAACAATGGCCGGCTGGGCTGGCCGGGACGCCAGCAGGTTTGGTCCGGCCGCTGCGCACCGCCGGTTACAGTCGGCTCGGGATTCCCACCTGTGATACTTCCCAGCCCCCCCCCCCCCCCCCTCTCGAATCTCTCTCCTCGGCGAAACTGACCCTTGTGACTCGATCCCCTACGTTCCTCGAGCCCCGCTCGGCCCGTGCAAGGTGGTTTTCTGTGAGATGAGGCTACCGCCACCCCGGCCCAACGGGAGACCCACTGTGCCTGCGCAGTACAGCTGCAGCTAACTCAACCCCTGTGACAAAGCTCGCGAGCCGCCGCCGACTCTGTCACCTCGCGTGCGCTGCCCCCTCCCCCGGTCCGGCTATGGCGCAGTTAATGCCGCGGCGGCGCCTCCGGTTGCACGAGACCCGCCGCCGTCACATATCGCTGACAGAGGCGGACGCGGCGCGAAGCACGCCCGGCATGTGGTCACCGCGCGGCGAGCCGCGCCGCCGGCCCGGTCCCGCCCCCCTTCGGAGGGCCAGCGGCCGCGCGCCGGGGCGCCCCCGGTCTCTCCACTGACCCGCGGCGCAGCGCAGGGCTTGGGCGGGCTGCCCGGCGCCTGTGTCGTGGCCGGAAGGCACCGCTGCGTTTGGCCGGCGTCGGTAGCCTCGCCGCGGGTGTTGGAACACGATTGCAGGCCGTTTAGCGTGCGAGAGGCTGCTCAGGCCCGCACCGCCGCTCCCAGTGGCTTTACGAGGCCGCCCGTTCGGGGAAGGGCCCGTGATCTCATGGCAGGACCGGTTCCGCGCGGCCGGCCAGCCGGCCGGCGGCCGCCGCTGCGACGGCAGCCCCTGTTTGCAGCCGTCGCCGGGCGGCCTGCACGGCCGGGCGTCGCCGCCGGCCGGCCCCGGCAGGGTCACTCTGACGTCACCCGGTAAACAGGCGCGGCCTTGGACGCCGCGACACGGCCGCAGCCGGGGCGGGTGGTCATGGTGAAGCTGGCCACCGCTCCGGCTGAGGAGGGTCGCCGGGGCCAGGCAGCGCCGGCCGGCCTGCAAATGAGAGGTGCCTGGGCTCGGTGCCAGCCAGTGCTGCCACCTTCACCGGTGGCGGCGAGTCCGCGGTGATTTGTAACGTCGTACCCGGGGCGCGTGGATGGATGTTGTTTGACTTAGCGCATGCGAAGCTTCAAAACGTCTCTGGGCCGTGGGGCGCGGCCTGAAGGACACTGACCGGGTTGCCGGTGAATGTTGACATCTAACTCTTCACTCCCTCAGCAGGTGCTGCCTTGACGTGGGGCTGGCTGGTGTCCATCACGGGAAGAGTGCATGTCCTCCCGCTCACCGAACCCAAGACCACGCCCGTCAGGGACGCTCCTCGTACCCGTAGGGTGCATGCCGCCGTGTTGTCCATGCGGCGTCCTATCACCTGCGACGCCCTATCGCCGTCCCCTGGCTGTGGTGCGTTACCCCGGTGTTGCCGTCTCCGCAGAGCCCCTGCCGCCGAGGCCGCGTGCGTAACGGTGCCCCCTGTGATCTCCGCAGCGGCCGCTGCCGTCGCCGCCGGCGGACGCGGACCGCGCCGCCTACCTACCGTACCCGCCGTCGCCGCTGGTCCAGACGCCGCCCTGGGCGCAGGCCGGCCCGCAGCGCTCCAGTCCGGGGCCGCCGCCCACGCCGCGTACGCCTGGCGTAGGTAGCCGGTCCGGCTCGGTCCGGCCAGGCGCTAACGGCGGGAGCCGCGGGGTGCTTGCTTCGGCGCCGGCGCCGACCGCGGCTCGGTGGCGTCCGTCGGGCGGGGCGCATCGCCATCGCCGCCGACCGGGAGGACTTCTCCTCGTGTTGCCGGTGCCATGTGCCGCTTCGTGTGGTCCTGCGAGGGTTGGTGCGGCGTCTGGTGGTCCGGTCGCTGGTCGCTGGTCTCTGTTCCTGACGCCGTCTCCGGGTGGTGCTCCTCGTGGTCCTCTGTTGTTGGTCCGTGTTCCTCATGTTTCGGTAGCTGGTCGATGTTCCTCCGCGTGGTCCTGTCAGGCTTGTTGTTTTAGCGAGGCTCCTGGACGTTGAGCAATGCGTTGCGTGAGCCACCGGACGTGGGTCGCGCACGAAGAGCCCCCCCCCCCCCCCCCGCCGCCGCCGCCGCCGCCGCCGTCGTCGTCGTGTCTGCGGTTTGTCCGCGCTTGTTTGACCCTGCTGCGGTTGTTTAACCCTCGCCGGATACAGATCGGTCTGATGCCTCCCACCCGACCGCCAACTCCGCCCCCCTTCCCCCGCCCCCCGCCCTCGAACTCAGCTTCCTGACGTCACAGATCGCGCTGCGCTCGGGCGCTCGTCTCTTGCCCCGGCAGCGGCGGTGCCATGGCCGCCTGCAGCGGCGCCAACAGCTGCCGTGTGTGGTCACTGGCTGGTCCGGCGTTTGTTGACGTTGGTCGGCGGCCGGTGTGGCGCCGTAGGGGTCTCGCGCGCGGTGACGTACGCCGCGGCTGCTGGGCCGGCTACCGACCGCGCTGCCGCCGCCGCCGCCGCGACCACGGCGTTCGTCGCGCCCGCGGAGTGTTGACGTGATGAAGGATCTCCGGGATGGAGATGCCCCCACGAGGATGGCACGTGGACTTGGCTGTTTTAAGTTTGTCCCCGGAGAGTTGCAGCGGGTCGCCAGGTTCGAGGCTCTGGGAAATGTCAACAAAGAGGTTACGCCCTCTTTACGTGGCGCGGACCTCCATTAAACCGCAGGCTGGAAGTCGGGTAGTCCTGCTTTCCCTCGAAATCTGATCACCCCTGTGTAAATACGTCATGGATTCCCCACAGGCCCAGATTTCGCCGCTGGTGCTATCCTGGCGCGTGGCCCAGGCAGCCCAGTGACGTACCAGCGTGGGGTCTGCCAGTCCGCCTCTGACCCCGCGGTCGGGTCACGTGACCGCCGCCACCCCCTCCGGATCGCTGACAGCCTCCCGACACGGGCACAGTGGCGACGGCGAGGGCGCCGCGCCGCGTTTGTTTTCCTGCTCCAGATCTGTCGGGGCGCTGGCCGAGCTGCCCATTGATCGGCTAAAATACGGCGCTGACGTCTGAGCGGCGGCCGGCCGGCCCAGCAGTGATGGATGGACGGACGGACGGACGGCCGGTTTGTTTGGGTGATTTTACGACGGATGTAACGGCTTTGGTCTGCCGTGTCGCAATCTTCGGCGCCACTCTCCTGAAGCGGGGGACCGAGACACAAGCACGGACAGGCAGTTCCGGTGGACGCGGGACAGCTTGTAAGGACAGACGCACGATCAGACGGGCTGCCGAGACGGAAAGCCGCGCGCCCAGCTGGCGGCGATACCCACCCGTGGTGCGGGGTTTCCCCCCGCGCCGTCAGGCGTTAGGAGCGGGCTGCTGGCGGCGCTGCTTGGTGTCGTGTTTTAGCCGGGGAGGGGGATGCCGCGCTAATCACGTGCCCCGGTGCTAACGACGGCATGTGTCGGGCCTCGCGTCTGATCCATTAGCGACGGCGGCCGGCGGCGGCGGCGGCCGTCTGGGAACGACGGCACGCTGCCAGCTCGTGCGAGCGCGCGCCCGCTGGCGCACTCCTGTCTCGCCGCGCGCCGCGACGTCCGTTTGTCATGCCACGCCCCGCCGCCGCCCTGCACGCAAACACCCCCCGCTGCGGAGAGCGGGGTAAAGTCTGCCGGCGGCGCGGCGTGACGCGACCCGGTGCCCCCGGGCGCCCCCGGCCTGACCCTGCCCCGATCCTGCCCTGACCCGTGGCGGGGCTGCCTCTCCACGGCTGACGGCGCCGGCCGCCGCCAGCTCGCGCCGCCGGCCGGTGCTGCGTGACGCGACCCGGCGCCCCCGGCCTGACCCTGCCCCGACCCTGCCCTGACCCGCGGCGGGGGTGCCTCTCCGCGGCTGACGACGCCGGGCGCCGCCAGCTCGCGCCGCCGGCTGGTGCGGCGTGACGCGACCCGGTGCCCCCGGCCTGACCCTGCCCTGACCCGTGGCGGGGCTGCGTCTCCGCAGCTGACGGCGCCGGCCGCCGCCAGCTCGCGCCGCCGGCTGGTGCGGCGTCGGGTGGCGCCGCGTCACGCTTGCCGCATGCCTGGACGAGCGGCAGCCGACCCGGGACGTGCCGCGCCGGCCCGGCCCGGTTTCGCCCCGCTCCGGTCGCGCAGGAGCGGAGGGGGGGGGGGGGAAGGGAGGATCCCCGCTCGGTGGGGCGGGAGTCGGAGTACGTCGGCTGGGCTGGAACTCGGGTCGTGCGGCGTGTGGTGGCGCGAGGTATGTGGCGCCTGGAGCTGCTTTTTCCGGCGATCCTTCGCAGGGTTTGCGATCGCGCCGCTCTGTCCGTCCATTATGTGCGCAAAAACAGCTGAACGCCAGTACGCTTTTGTCTTCAGATCCGATGGAAAGTGATGTGTTTGAGCCTGTGTTGATGCCGATTGTTCTTTGCTAATATACGTGGTGATAACCATCAACAAACGGTCGTCCATCACGTAAGAATGTTTGCGGCCTTAGATAATGCACGAATCAATCACGGGAATGCAGCGGGCGTCAGCACGTGGCTTTTTGTCTGTCAAGCCAAAGCAATTCCTGGCTGATGGTCCTTTACCGCCGTCGTTGGGGCATCAGCTGGGCACTATGCTGCGCAGCGCGGGTCGTCCTTGGCTGGGACTTAACGCTGTCTTTAGGGGCCTGACCTCTGCGTGACCTTGATTGTCATCCTGCTGACGTCATTCTGAGCCCCGCTCTGTTCTGCCCTCGCTGTGTTGGCGGCCAGTCGTCCCGCTCGGCTGAAGCCCATGGTGTCACTTCCGGCGTAACGTGATCGGAGGTTTGTTTGACACTGACTACGCTGTCAGCTGACTGTGTGATTTCTAGCCTGTTAGGTCTGTGTCATGTGGCGTGAGCCCACCGTGACCAATGCGTCACCTCTGATTTCTCCTGCTTCTCGTCTCAGTTGACGGCCTGAACTGCCCTGACCTAATCGCTCATGGTGTTACCTCTTAGTCGTTCTGCTCTTAACACAGAGCGAGTTGGGCTCAGAGTGCACTGTGTCACGGCCTGACCCCCTGTGTCACCGCTGGCCTGTCCTGACTCCGTGTCGTCTGCCAGCCCGTCCTGACACCCCTCCTCCTGTGTCACCCCCGCCCCGCCCCGCCCCGCCTCGTCCCGCGCCGTCCGCCAGTCTGACCTCCGGCGCCTCCCGTCCGCAGAGCGGCACGTGGCGCTCGAACGCCTCGCACTCGCCGTACAACACGATGAACAGCTCGCTGGGCGGGCCGGGCTCTCCGGCGCACAACATGACCATGAGCAGCCTGGACAGCCTGGACTCTGGCCTGACCCACAGTCCGATCGTGCCGGCCGCGCAGGCGCGCCGCGTCATGGTGCACCCGCACACACTGCTCGAGCGCGCCCGCATGAACGTGGCGTGAGTACGGGGGCGGCGCCCGGGCCGGCGCGCCGACGCGCCGACCGTGTTTTGGCGCGGGGATGCGGCGGCGGCGCTGTGCTGTGCGTGCCGGGCCGTTCCGTGCCGCGCAGACCTGACGGAGGGAGCTGTGTGGGCGCTCTGTAGCAATGCAGTGGGGCGGACGTGAGGCGCGTGTTATTACCGTGGCTTGACGCGGTGTTGTGGGTGCCGCGAGGCCGTGTCCGCAGCGGAGCTTCTGTGACGTTATAATTTCACCACTGTGCTGTCTCGTTCTGACTGCGGTCCTGTGCGTTACTGTCGCATTCCCGCTGCAGCGGACTGTTGTAATCCTCTCGCGGGCACGCCACAAGATGGCACGACACTCTCTCTCTGTCCTCTGGCCGTCCGTGGCCTCTGAACGCGCTGTCTGGCTCTCCAGCTCCCCGTCAGACGGCCACGTGCCTCACCGCGTGCGCTGTGCCGCGCCCCGGCCAACACTGGAGGGCGCTGTCTGATCGTGTCATCTGAGCGTCTCTAGCCCCAGTCGCCGCCACGCGCTGCTGACGCCGGGGCGGTGACCCTCGCCTGCCGCAGCTGGCTGGACTCGTCGCTCTCCATCATGGAGCAGGGCATCCGCGAGTACGGCACCCTCCTGCTGCGCTTCAAGTTCTACAGCTTCTACGACCTGGACCCCAAGTACGACGCGGTGCGCATCAACATGTTGTACGAGCAGGCCAAGTGGCAGATCCTGAACGAGGAGATCGACTGCACCGAGGAGGAGATGCTGTTGTTCGCCGGTCTACAGGTGCGTGTTATCGCGGGTGGGGGCGGGTGGCTGCCGGCGGTGCTCCAGCGAGGCGCCCTGACGCGGTGGGGGTCGGCACCGGGCGGATAGTGAGGCTCAGAGACGATCCCGGACGCAAGGGTGGTGAGTCGGCGGCCTTCCGCGCAGGGAGTGCAGTGGTACAAGGTCTTGCCGCGCAAGGTGGTTGGTTCCGCCACTATGTCGTCGCGGTGGTGGACAGCGCAGGGTCGCTGGCGTAGGTTCGGTTGAGAGAGGCACTGGGAACGTCCGCGGAGAGACCTGCCAGCGGACAGGAGATCTTCAGCTGGCTCGTATGGCGGTGACCTGGCCAGCGCCCGTGCCGGCTGTGGTGTGATTATCTGCGGAGCGCTCGTCGGCAAGAGACGGTGCGGGCCGGTTTGTCCCCCGCGTGGCCGAGCCGTCGTGTGGTGATCACTCTCGCTGCTTGGGTGTGTGTGTGCGTGCGGCGCGCCTGACTGGGATCTGGTTGTTACGGTGACCTGTGTTCGTTGCGGCTGGTCCGAGTCCTCGATGCAATGGACACGGTTTCCGTCGTTCCACGGTCACCCTGGCTGTCATGCGACCATCGCTCCTCTCTGCTGTCAGCCTTGCTGTGGGTGGCCCAATGTTGACGGCGTTTGTACGCGTCCCACACGGCTCTCGTCCTCCGTTTCGCTCGCTTCCGCCCGGGCCTGGTGTGCCGCCATGCTGACCGGCGTATCCCGTCGGCCCGCAGCTGCAGGTGAACATGCAGAGCAGTCAGCCGCAGCCGGAGCTGAACGACTCGAGCATGGGTGCCGACGACATCGACTCGGCGCTCAACGACCTGCAGGTCAAGCTGGAAGGCTCACACGTCAACGGCAACGGCGACATCACGCAAATCCCCGAGCTCTCGGACTACCTGCGCTTCTTTAGGTAGCGCTGGCGGCGGCGACGCCGGCTGGCTGGGCAGCGGGCGGCAGGGCGGGGCTCGTGTGGGCGTCGGGAACGCGCCGCGGCTGCGAGCGGGGGTGTTGGCGCCCGCCGTGCCCGTGCGTGCCGCGGGCCCGTGCCGCTTCTTGTCTGGCTTCAGGTTTGAAAGAAGTGATGTCACGTGGGAGGGCGTCGGAAAGCGGGGTCAGCGCTGTGGTGAGGCTGTTCTGGGGTCAGGACGCAGACGGAATTGCGTCGCTTGATGACGTGTGGACGTTGATGTACTGTATGCACCCGAAAGCGGAGTTTGGCCTTGCACGGACCGTTCCTGAGGGCCTTCTTCAACCTGAGAGTCAGCGCTTTAGCTGGTCCGCGTGCGTCGATAGGGCGCAGTTCCTCGGGAGAACTGGTGTGATCTTTCTCTCGTGTCCCCCAGGCCGAAGAAATTCACGCTGAAGGGCTACAAGCGCTACTGGTTCGTCTGCAAGGACCTGATGCTGTACCTGTACAAATCCCGGGAGGACGTGGGGCATGAGCCCGCCTTCAGGGTCAGTCGACTCCGCACCCTGGCGGCAGTCAGTCACCTCGCGGCTCGGGGCGGCCGGCTGACGGACATCGGTCACTCACCTGCCCGTGTCATGTTACCCACCCTTGGCATGTCACCAACCGTCGGCATCTTCGCTCATGTTGTGATGGCTGTTGTGTGGCTCTGTACACGTTACATGGTGCGGACTGCGGCCAGGCATCATCGCTTGTGCGAGCATCATCATGGCATTCATAGTGATCATGCCGGAGTCCGCTTCATGCATCACCGAAGACATTAAGTCACAGCCAACACAATGTTGTCCCGCGGTGAATCGTGACCGTTCTTTGCGCCACATAGCCACGACCCCAACCCGCCTGACGCGGCCTCCTCGGCGCCAGGTGAACCTCAAGGGCTGTGAGGTCACCCCCGACGTCGTCATCGCCAGCAACAAGTACGGCATCAAGCTGGAGGTGCCATCGCCCGAGGGCATGACCGACATGATCGTCCGGTGCGACTCGGTACGTGCGTCGACTCCTCACGCATATCTCTCGCACCGAATCATCAAGGGGTCTCGCGCCGACTCCTCGGCACTGACCCCTCAGGTCGACCCCTCGCCGGCCCCTCGCACCGATCCCTCAGGTCGACCCCTCGCCGACCCCTCGCACCGACCCCTCAGGTCGACCCCTGGCCGACCCCTCGCACCGACCTCTCAGGTCGACCCCTGGCCGACCCCTCGCACCGACCCTTCAGGTCGACCCCTGGCCGATCCCTCGCACCGACCCCTCAGGTCGACCCCTGGCCGACCCCTCAGGTCGACCCCTGGCCGACCCCTCGCACCGACCCCTCAGGTCGACCCTGGCCGACCCCTCGCACCGACCCCTCAGGTCGACCCCTCGCCGACCCCTCGCACCGACCCCTCAGGTCGACCCCTCGCCGACCCATCGCACCGACTCCCCAGGTCGACCCCTGGCCGACCCCTCGCGCCGACTCACGCCGATTCCCCGCGCCGCCCTCGCGCACGGCCGGCCCGATGCCGCCGGAGCCCCGGCGGGCGCCGACGGCCGCGCTCCCGATGCGCATTGTTGTTGGCGGCCGGGCGTCGCTGGCCGGCTGGTCGGCTGTCGGCGGATGCGTCGACACGCCGCGCTGCCGGGCGCCGCCTGATGGATGGCGGCGCTGCTGCCAGCGGCGGGCGGGCGCGGGCGGGCGGCCGGCGGCAGATGGACACAGCAGGCGCGCTGTGGACGGGGCAGCGGCGGGCACCGGCCGGGCGCTGTCCGACCCAGCTCTTTGTTTGCACTGCCCCAGATGGAGGCCGTGTAGTTGTGTGAGACTTGGCCGGTGGCTTGGACCGTACCTTGGTTCTGCATTATCGGACGGCGTTGGTTGTGTGTTTGGTCTGACGTATGCCGTGTTCTGGCGCGCGTTGTTACGGGCTGAGGCCCGATGTGGGTCGTGTCGCCACGGCCTGCGCGAGCCCGGCCAGTGCCCAGGATTGGCGTTTGTCGGACCCCGGTACCGTCTCGGACAGACTGAGTCGAACGGGAGGCCACGAGTGTCAACCCGGGCCCTGCGAGTCTGTCATCAGCTCCCGCCCGTCCCCCCGATTGTGGAAGCTATTGCCCTGATTGTTCGTTTATCCTGCTCGGCACCTGCAAAAAGCTCCCATCTAGAGCCCTGCTATGTTTGTCCCCCTTTTAGCAGTCTGTGTGGAAGTCCTGCTCAGTGAAAGACCCTCTGCGTGATCCGTTCTCACAGACTCCCCTGAAGCTTTCGTTCATCCGCCTCCGAGCTACAGAAGCCCCCCTGGGGAGCGCGGCTTCCCCCACCCTGAGCTGCAGTAGCCCTCCTGGTGACCGCCGCCTGTGCTGCCGTGCCCGCAGGAGCAGCAGTAGCCCTCCTGGTGACCGCCGCCTGTGCTGCCGTGCCCGCAGGAGCAGCAGTAGCCCTCCTGGTGACCGCCGCCTGTGCTGCCGTGCCCGCAGGAGCAGCAGTAGCCCTCCTGGTGACCGCCGCCTGTGCTTCCGTGCCCGCAGGAGCAGCAGTAGCCCTCCTGGTGACCGCCGCCTGTGCTGCCCTGCCCGCAGGAGCAGCAGTAGCCCTCCTGGTGACCGCCGCCTGTGCTGCCCTGCCCGCAGGAGCAGCAGTAGCCCTCCTGGTGACCGCCGCCTGTGCTGCCCTGCCCGCAGGAGCAGCAGTAGCCCTCCTGGTGACCGCCGCCTGTGCTGCCGTGCCCGCAGGAGCAGCAGTAGCCCTCCTGGTGACCGCCGCCTGTGCTGCCCTGCCCGCAGCAGCAGCAGTAGCCCTCCTGGTGACCGCCGCCTGTGCTGCCGTGCCCGCAGGAGCAGCAGTACGCCCGCTGGATGGCCGCCTGCCGGCTGGGCGCCAAGGGCAAGACGATGGCCGACGCCTCGTACGACACGGAGGTGCGCAGCATCCTGGACTTCCTGTACCTGCAGCGGCCGGCGCCGGCGCCCGCCATCAACCCGCAGCACCTC